CCCCCCTCCCCTCCCCACCGCGCCCCATCCCTTCCCGTAGTCTGGACATTCCCGTTCGCGTCATCTCCGCTGTGTAGCAACCATGTTCTCTGTCAGCAAGCTCTCTCGGTGCGTACGCCTGTGTCGTGCTCCGTCCATTGCCATGTCACTCACCCCTCCACGCCGGTTTCCGCCCTCCCCCGCTCCCGTCCGTGCACTCGCGCAGCGATGCCATGCCCCTGATGCGCCAGGTGTGTAGCTGCCCCGCTGTCCACGTATTTCCCCGGCCCGGCCGGGCCCGGCCTCCCGCCTGACCCTCCCCCCTAACGCTGTCCTCTCCTTGTGTTCCTCCCCCCCCCCCCCTTCGCCAGGCCTACCTCCGCATCTCGCCCACTGTCATGCCGGTCCGTCATCTGAACCTGCACGAGTACCAGAGCAAGGATCTCATGAACGAGTATGGCATCAACACCCAGAAGTTCAAGCTCGTCACCTCCGCCGACGGCGCGGCCGATGTTGCCTCTTCCCTCAGTGCGTCTGGGTTTTCTTGTCGCCGCTCTGTCATGGCCTGGTGTCCGCCGCGTGCCTGAAATGCGCCCAATGCTCGCCCCCTCACCCTCTGTTTCTTTCTTTCCTTTTCCCTCCCTCGTTCCTCCATCCCCCCCCCCCGGCCCCGGCTCAGACGTCCCGGAGTACGTCATCAAGGCCCAGGTCCATGCCGGTGGCCGTGGTAAGGGCACCCTCTCCAGTGGTCTGAAGGGCGGTGTGCACCTGACCCGCGACCCGAAGGTGGCCGAGGACCTGACTCGCCAGATGCTCGGGTACAACATCTTCACCCAGCAGACCCCGCCCGAGGGTGTCACCGTCAAGAGCGTGCGTCCTCCTCCCCCCCCCCCCACAGCACCCCCGTCCCCCGGCACAAGCACCTACTGACGCTTCCCCTTACTTGGTCTCGGCCGCTCCCTGCCCTCTCCCCCCCCCCCGCCCGCCCGGCCGGCGCATTGTCTTTTCACACAGGTCATGATTGCCCAGGCTCTGGACATCGCCCACGAGTCGTACTTCGCCATCCTCATGGATCGCGGCTTCGGTGGCCCGGTGCTGGTGGCCTCCCCCCAGGGCGGCATGGACATCGAGGCCGTCGCCGAGGAGACCCCGGAGCTGATCTACAAGCAGGCGGTCGACATTTCCAAGGGCCTGGCCCCGGCCGACGTGATGGACCTCGTGGAGAAGATGGGCTTCACCGATGACAAGAGCAAGGCCGAGGCCGCGGACCAGATCGCCCGCCTGTACAAGCTCTTCATCGATGTCGATGCCACCCAGGTGGAGATCAACCCCTTCGGCAAGGACACCGATGGCAACGGTGCGTGGACACATCGTCCCCGTGTGTGGGCACATGCCGGGGGGGGTGGGGG